AAAACATCAAACTTAGCATTCGATATAGAAAGTAATTTGAAATAATACTTTTCTACAAAGAAACCGAGCAAAAAAGGATTGATTGCGTAGGTGGTCAGTCTGTACCTAACCAAAGTTTTACCCAGTGCTTTGAAAGGAATTTTGCACATTCAGCATTTCATACAGTGGTGGCTAATTATTGCCCACTGATTCAACTTTGCATTAGTTTTTTGCACAAAGTTTCTTCCATGCGAAGTTGCCGGTCTAACATGAAGAAGCTTTCGGAATGACTAGGTGTTTACACAGGTCATCATCGGCGCGGTTCGGCGAGGCTCGGAGAAATCATTATGCGAGAATGAATAAGGAAAGACAAATATGTCAGTGCGAGAATTGCGGAGCAGAGTTACACACTGTATTGTACGGTCCGATACGGTTCCGCCAAATTAAGCGCGATAACTCAAGAGTAGGCTCAATGCGTTCGCGATGAAAAGTCAATGTTTTTCTGTTTACTAACTGTCCGCTCAAACATGAAACTATTATCAAAATTTTTGCACAAATGTTCCTCAGAATCATATCCTTCTGCGGCTAGAGTTAGCGATTATCTAAAGCATCAAGGATTCTGTTTTATTATAGTAGTAGCATGAGCAAAAGCGTTTTTGTCGTTTAGGCATAAAGTTATTCAAACAATGAATTAATCTTCCTAATTTAAATTTAATTTATTCGTCATCACCCTTGTGCAGATTTGGTGATAAAAAAGTATGAGGGAATGTCGACTACTAAATAAATTGGCAAAACAGGAAATCTTTGATATCCTCTGTCGTTCAGCAAGCATCCTACTCTTCTCATCGACCGATTCCTTTAATTTTGGATGGAGTACCCTTGAACTCTTCTTTTGAACGACTCTTTAATGCTTCAGGTGAAGATGTTTTCGTTGTCGTTGTTTCAGCAGATTTACTGACTCTTTCAGCTAATAAAGCCTTGTCAGGTGTTCCCTAAGCCAAAATTTTTTCGCATGTAGGTCTTGTGAAAGACAAAAATGTGTTGGAAAACAATTATACCTGCGCAGCTTCTGCGTCCTCAACATTTCCTGGGATTGTCATCTGAGATGCCTTAAAGTGGCGAAAATGTTGTAAATCGTTGTAGTTTTAATTCCAAACGTCCAGACATTGCAAACTAACCCCTTCGAGTTGTTCTACTTGCGTTCCTATGTACGCTATAGAGTTCTGGCTCGGGTCGAATGCTATGTGCGATATAGCTTTTGATTGTTCGTCATCTAATTCATGCTTCTGAAATGTCCAGTTATGTGATTTAACTAGTCTGAAGACTACTTCAGCTGCGTTTGAGCACAGATGATATAATTTCGTGTTAAAAGCGCAATATGACTGTGTACGAATGTGAGTAGATTTCAACCAACTGCTGAGCTTACATATTGTTGAAAAAAATTTTTTTCAAGCGAACTACTTGCAGTTGTTTGAGAAACGTTTAGTTGTGACCAGTGCAATTCTTTACAGTATGCTATTAGCATAAACAGCAACAAGTGTCATCAAAGTACTCACAACATCTCCTTTGTACTCGGCTTGCATTACCAGTGCAGCTTGTTTTGTGCCCTTATAATCGATCTCCGCTGACTTCATCTTTTTTGGTTTCTAAAGTGATGGTGTTAGTGTACGTACCTCTTTTAGGAGAAGGCAGTAATAAAGCCTTTCTAAAACGCGCAAACTCGCAGTATTATAAAAATGTAAAAAATGTTCTATTTGCCATAAACCTCTGTTGAATTTAGTAAGCGCAATGCGTCGTCAACGGTATATGGCACAAGACTACAAAAGGTAGCAGCTTTCTCTCTTATCAAGATGTTGAATTCAAAAGA